CTAGCGGGCGCTTGGAATATAGCGCCAGAGGCGTGATGAAATGCCTCTCTTTCACCGTGGTATCCTTCCACGCCTTCTTGAGGGCTTCGCCTGCCTGTAGCCTTCTTGGCCCGCTAGCTTGTAGGCCATCTTGCGGATAGCCTGGTCATAGCTGAGGACCAGGGTCCATGGGGGTATCGATCCCCCCTGGCCTTCTCCAGAGCGTAGCCCATACACATAATCTCCCAGCAAATAATCTTTGTATTTATCGAACACGTCGGAGGTGACGTCCGATATCTCTACTCGATTCGTGCGCCGTAGCTTGATCATAGCTAGGGCATTGAACATCACTGTTAGCCGGTGACGTAGCTGTTCTGGACCTGTGGGCATGGATACCGTGGACGAGGCCTTCTTTATCGTGATGTGGCCCTTGCTATCCCACTGCGGTATCATGCTATCCGGGTCTACCTCATCTCGACCCACCACCTCGCTTAGCGTCTCGGCCCGGAACTCCCCGGACTCCAGCTCAGCTAGCTTTTTCTCGATGTACTCCTTTGCCGGGATGTACTTATCCTCAAGCTCTCCGAAGGACTTAGCGAAGGACTGTCTCATAGCCATGTAGTCCGTGGTGGGGATGGGCTTAGCCATATCCCTAGTCTCATTGGATGCTTCGGCATCCGCTCGCGCCTTCACCCGTATCTGCGCGGACTGCCACGCCACAGTGTAGCTAGCCACTTGAGCTCGCTTATCCAGGGAAGCAGCCGGGTCTAGCGAAAATTCCGACTTTAGCAAGTCGGCTAGCTCTCTAGCACTAGTAACGAAGGCTGCAAACTTAGCCAACGTATCTATCCCATTCTCGAATAGCTTACCCTGGTGAAGGTCCGAGGACCCTAGCAACAACTTATCGGCCGTGGTCAAAGCCATGGGGGGTCTCTGCCCCAACTATCGCAAAATCAAATCCAACAATTCGAGACAAAATCTATCCCAGGAGAAGGAATCAGAAGGAGAGAGAGAGAAGGGGTCTGGATACCCCTATCGACCCTAGCATAGAGAAGAGAGAAGGGGTCTGGATACCCCTATCGACTGCGAAAAGGAAAGGAAGGGTCTGGATACCCCAAAGACCCTCTTCTCTCTTCTCCTCTCTCTCTCTATCTTGCAGGCAACGCAAAGCACTTGCAGGTCCGTCCTACCCTATCCCCGTGTTGCTTGTGTGTCGGAAAGGATTTTCGGACGGAGGAAAACCTTATCCTTGCTGCCTGACCTCCCGCTAGCTCGCAAACGCGATCTCTAGCCAATATCACGGAGAGCCCCGTCTCCCAGGATAACCACGTATCCGGACTTTTTGCAACCACCGTTCCGTGGCGGATCGCTAGCTAAACTATCTCCGCACTCCACAAAAGAAGCATATCAATATATAGGACTGCAAACAACAGGAGGTTTTTGGAGATAGCTTAGCCTAGCCGTAGCGTTGCAACTGTACACGAGGGGTAGCTATCAAAATACCAAAGTGACTATCTGTATCAGTCAC